GCCACAAATATGCTATTCACAGTTTACGCATAGTAGAGCTAGATTATTATTGTTTTGAAATTTGTTCCTATATTTCGAATTATTGTTATTAATTTATTATTAAAAATATTCTTTATTTATATGAAAAATTTGTGCTTGATTGAATTTAGCATTAAAAATCTGAAAGGTTTCAGATTTATTACGTCAAAGGTTGTGGTGTATTTAATTATAGCAAGCACACTGGGCTATCTCCCTAAGGGAGGGATGCCTCGTGGAGGACTTTTCTAAGGGAACCTGACTCATATACACGTTAAACATGGGAAAACCACTAAAACCCGCATGCCCCAGCCCGTTTCGCGGGATTCGAACCTCGGAAAAAACTATCAGTGTTCAGCGACTTTACCGCTCGGGCCGCTGGTGGTTACGTCCAAAGGGGGCGTTTTTTTAACGTTTTTGTGGTACCCTTTATTTTATTAAAATCAGTTCTTCGCACTTAACCAAATTTCAGTTCATAGCATGTCGCAAAATATTTTAAATGAGCCTGTCTTTAGAATTTCCGATACGCGTTCCGCGGGCCGGAGTAAAAAGGTTTTTTCCTCCCGTAGATTGTTGTCATGGCTCGCTTTCAAATCGTTGAGTTGTTACTCAAAAATTCGTTAAATTTTTACAAAATATGAATCGATATAAGATAATTCCAAATTTCAAATGTGGGCTTCCACATGCTCATATTCGCAGTAGGATACGTCAGTCAAATTCGATGGCTCTATGACCGTTTGTTTTAAATCACAATGCTAGAAATATACATACATTTTGCAGATTTTTTCATTTTAATTCTTCAAAATATAATGCAGGACTTTGGTGGCAACAGTTTGAAAAGTGAACGGATATTTTATAGTGATTTAACGCGAATGCAAAACGAAATAATAGTCCTTCAGGGACAAAGCTCCTTTGGACTTAAAAATTGAATTTAATAAAGTTTTTGTTTTATGACAATTGTCATGTTTTTTTATATATTAGTATATATTTTTACTTGTATGAGACTTAGTTTCTGATGGTCTATTGACAATGTACATTAACTGACTAAATTACTAGCATTCATTTACAATATTTATATTTCTGCCTGCACATATAAAAAGAATTATATATATAATATTAAAAGTTAAATATAATTTAACTGTATTGGATTCACTTCTGTGGTTCGTGTTTGATCGTATTTATTTATTTAAATTTGGGCAAGGGTCTTTGTAGGGTTGCACTGATATATACAAGTTTTGATTTAATTTATATTTTTCCAGTAATAAGATTAATTCAAATTTGCATATTTTTGCATTTTTCAGTTCAAAAAGAGGCCTTTTTTTTTTCCTTTTCCTTTTATTTTGGTACCCCAGCCTCCTAACGAAAATATTCTGTGAGATTCAAAATTTTTTTCGCATGTTTCATTACTTTTCGCAATTCTCATTAGTATTTTTGTACGAAATTAGTTTCTCACTGTTGATTTCTCTGGAGATTTCGATACAGCTTTTATAATAATTGTTCGCACAAGCAATTTTGCTACTTTTGTGCCATGTCATTATTCCAAACTGAATATAATTTTGAATTTGCTTAGATTTTGTTTTGATTTTAAAAATCATTAGCGCAAAATTAATTGAACTTAACTTTTATATCTTATTTATTTCTTTATTTAAATTATTAAGTTTTAGATATATATATATATATATATGATGTGTACCAGTTTTAGTCGTAGCTTTAAATTATCAGACGATAAGTTTAAAAAAAACAGGATCATTTATTATTATTCAGGAGAAATAGCAGTTACAAAATGAAATATCAGGAGTAATACAAAGAATTACTAACTTTTTGTATGAGTTTACTGCATCGTGACATTTAAGAAAAGCCCCCCCAATATTCTTTTGCGAGGCCTCTGGAAAGGCAGAGCTTCCAAGAAATGACGTCAGCCTCGTCAGCCAATCCAGTTCGCTTTAAATATTTCCAGAACGTTCTATAACTGTACGTGTAGAAAAAAGCGGGAAAAAAACAACTTGACTACGGGGCTGTGGATTTAATTTCACGTACTTTCAAATAAGAGAAACGTCGTCATTAAAATGAAAAGAATATACAGTTAGTTAAAATTTTAAGTGTATTCTTAATTATGGAATTTTAATATTACATATATATATAATATAATTATATATATTACATATATATAAATAATATATATATATATATATGTAATATAAAAGCGCAAGGAAAAAAAACCCGGAGCAGTGTCGATGCCTTGCTTAGATCATATTGAAGAAGAATTTTGATTGTGTATATTTAAAGAACTTGGCAGTTTAATTTTTCCATTTTTATTTCCAATTAATATTTTTTGTGGCCACAATCACTTGGCACTCTAGTCGTGCCTTTCCACAGAAGATTTACATTTTTGATATTGCTGAGCTAGAAAGCAAGTCAGCGAAATTACAGCTTAGCAAAGTAGAGAGCAAAAGCTGAAGTTATCAGTTTCAATGTTTCTTCTAACCTTCTTCGGAAACATACAATGACCTGACTAGAACAGAGAGCTTACTAAAGCTATGTTCACTAATTGTAGTAAGTAGACAGGATACAGACGAAGGGTATACAAAACCCTTTATTTTTTTCTTTATATACAATGACTTCCGTACTTCGGAATACAATGACCCTCCACTCGGGGTCTAACTTAAAAGATATCAAAATAAAACTAAACTCTAATTTAACTTTAAATAAGATTGGCCTTATAATAACAGGAAGCGTATGTAGAACAGAGACTGTGAACACTACAATACGTTTAATTTATCAAGAGGATTAAAACCTCTGGCCTGGAAGGCAAAGTAGCAACTGCGTACTTCTAAGGTAAGCGGCCTGCTTCGAACTCACGGCTTCCTCTCCTCTCTGCTTGGCAAAAAGGCCACACTTAAATACTTGGCGTTCGCCAGACAACTTTGCATAAACTCCTTCACGCTTATAATTCTGGCCGGAAGTAGAAAATAAGAAGTGATAGTAAAGATTTAAAATAAAATAAACGTTAGTAAAACTTAAGATCCTTACAAAGTGAGTAGTTATGAAGGATGGAAGCACGCGAAGAGAAAAGTTTTGGTTTACTATTCGGTGATTGGTCGTCAAGAGACATCTGGTATTAACGGTTATGTAAGATCGCATGATTAATTTGAATGACGCAATGCAGATAAGTTATTACGATTTTAGAATAGACAGGAAGAATTAATGTTTATAGTTCTGATTCATACATTTTTTATCTTACATATATATATAATTTATATATTATATATATATGTATATAAACTTACATATGTATGTTACCGTGAATGTCCGAAATTGGAGAATGTCAACATTCTCCAGTGAATGTTAACACATTCCAAATACATCACTTAAAGACCGAATATTTGGTTACATTCTCATACATTCGGACCGTCACCTGTGTATGACAAGCACAGATATATTATGGTTGGAGGTCGAAACGAGAAGCCGAGAAGACAGACAGAGAGGCGCCGAAAACGCCAAATCCTTTGTTCTGCCAGTACTGAAATTACGTGGCATCCATTTTTTATATTCTAGAGCACTGCTGTTTGTCACAAGGGTTTGATGGTTAGTGCGATATTTTCTTAATTTCTATTTTTTATTAGATACCATAATTAATAAATTAATATTGAATGGCTCCTTCAGTGAATCGGCATATATAGTATATATATATTCGTGTGTGTGTGTAAAGTTACATGCATTAGCTGACAGTGTACGAGAAAACAGCAGTTTTTATTTTTCTCAAGAAAATAACTCTAAAATACTTTTTGAAGTTACTTCAGCTAAAACTAAGTGCAGCACACCTTTACCTCCCGAATTACAGAGGACAAAAACGTTTTGACGTTTACAAATTAATGATGAAGGGAAGTTAATTCTACAACTAAAACCAGTAAAAACGGATTACAACATATTACAGCATAATATGTTACCAATGATGAAATGTTCAGTATACTATCTGAAATTCACACCAGAATACGTCACGGAGGAAGAACACATATTCTTTAAGAATTGCAATTTAAATACAAAAATATTACGTATGAAGTTGTAATATTGTAATTAAATTTATGTAACAATATCAAATGAAACATAGTGCAGCTAAAAAGGTATTTTATGAAACCAATGGTCAGTTCCAAGTTAAACTCAGGATGACAAGTCGATCTGATAGACCTGCATTCACACAGGGATGGCGAATATAAGTTCATAATGGTGTTTCAGAACCACTTGACGAAGTTTTTCCAGCTACGACCTTTGAAAAACAGACTGTTGGTCCATGCATCATGGGGGCACTCTAAATATGTAGCGAGCAGAAAGTCCTCTCGAGAGAGTGATGGTAGGGGTAGAGGGATGGAAGACCCTCAGACCCATCCCACCTGGAATGCTCTCCATCAAAATTTGGGGTGGAACTGAGCTAAATCCCACTATCATCTGTAAGGGGCTCAAGGCTGTTGCCAACGACTGGTGGAAACTTGCGCTCCTTGCTACAAGGAATTTCGTGGGCTTGGGTTGAGTATATGTCAGACAAGTGAGCATTCACAACAACATGCTCTATGTGGAAGGATGTTAAAATAGTTCACGTAAAGCCTCATCATAATCAAATACAAGGCTCACTTGAAAGGGCCGATCAGGGTATACAAAATGTGTTAACTGCATGGATGAACGATAACGATACAAATAAGTGGCCAGATGGTCTGCCCGTTGTTCAATTTGCCAAAAACACTACATACCACAAAGGAATACTTCAAAGTCTTTATGAAGTCCTGTTTGGTGTTAAACCTAAAAGAGGCGTAGTATCGTCATCTTTCTCTGACGAAGAATTCGCAAATTTTGAAGCCGAAGAACAGCTCGAAGAAATTGTTAACATTTGTTATGAAAATTTGAGCCGTAAAGAAAACTTTATTCCAGTGGAGGATATTGAAGAGATTTCCTTCTGCTCAAATTACTGATGCCGTATGAATACAAGGTCTCTCATGTCGACTGTCATGGTTGGCGGTTGTTGTTGGAATAGAAGACTCCGCCTTTTACAAGTTAGCAGGCAGAAAAGTTCTCTCAGGCAGCTTTAAATCCATAATCAGTTCGTAATTTGTAAATAAAAGTTACGTTCCATAGATGAAATTTTTTCTCAAGAAATGTAGCTGTAACTAATTATAGAACTGAAGGTCATGCATGGCTATACACGCTGACATTGCAAAAAGAAGTGTTCCACGGCTGAATGTAGTTGTAAAAACAAGGGAGTCTTGTGTAATTCAATGTGTCATAACAATTTAACTTGTTGCAATAAATAAGATCGTATAACATGAATCACATAGTTAAGTAGCTTTATTATTGTTATTATTTTCTTTCCTCGTTTAGAATGTACCGTTCGTTTTAAGTTCAGCAGTTTATTTACATTTACTGTTACTTAAGCTTCCTCTTATTTCGACATACATCATAATATGTTTTAATAATAAAGTATGATTTAAAATGTAACAAAAATATTTTTATTCAACATTCTCCAGCAATGCATAGTTAATTTGCTAGTTTAAGTGAGAAATAATGACATTTAGCACATATTTCGGACACGGCCAAGTGACTAAGTAAATGTTGACGTTCTCGATAACATAAATAAGTTTATAGTATAAAAGTATATATATATAGTAATTAATTTGTATTTTATTTTTATTTTATTTAGCTGCTTTCTATTTGTTTCAGTTTTGATGTATGTATTTCCTATCATAGCTCAAGCCCTTTTACAAAAAACTGCCTAATCTTCTTTATTATAAAAGTTAAATTTCATATGTGTTCATTGAGTACGCGTTTCATGAAATAAAAATTTTATTTCGATTTTTCTCAAGAAAGGCAAATGAAAAATTCATTAAAAAATTGACATAGTTAAAAAAATTATCGTTTTGTGTATTTCACACTAAAGCAAATTTGAACCTTTAAAAAGTTAAGGGGGGGGGAAGATGAGTTGCTTTTTCTTTCCTCTTAAAAATGTGTGTCCTCTAAAAATCTCTGTTGTCAACATTCTTAATTTGATACATAAGTATTAACGCAAATACTTTGGCGCAATTTGTCGACTTTTACAGATGAAAAGGTAGAAGTTGCTTCCGGTTTTCCCACCTTTTTTTAGAAAGTTTCCTAAATTATGGATATTTATCGTAAGTGGGTAAACATTATCAACAGATGAAAAGAAAACATACCTTAATGATTTGAAATACAAACTTTAATTATTAGGTTAGGTTAGGTTATTTAATTACTGCAAAGCCTCGAGGGCTATCTGCCTAAGGGCAGGGATACCTTCGTGGAGGACTTTCTAAGGGAAACTGGCTCGTATACACGTTACACATGGGTAAAACCACGAAAACACCCAAGCAGCTAGTCCGTTCGCGGGATTCGAACCTCGGACCGAACTACCAGTGTTTAGCGACTTTACCACTCGGCCGCTGGTGGGCCTTTAATTATTAAATAAGGATTACGTGATACATTAAAAAATAAAACACTTACATACTTCTTCAAATTTTTCTGTAAGTTTTTTGCGTTATTCTTCTTCCGAAGTATACAGGTGACATATTTTCACTTTAAAAAGCAGAGAATTCCAGAGAACCGGCTTCGTGCAAACCTCGGCAACAACGACTGTCTAGGAAACACATTTCATGATTATTGCCTTTAGAACATTTTCTACAATATACTTTATTCCCAGTGGCGTAGCAAGTATAACTGGCGCGCGGAGCATAATACCTTTTTGGCGCCCCCCCCCCACAAAAAACTTTCAGTAATATAACATATAGAATATATTCTCAATAAGAAAATCATGAAAATAATAATAAAATGCTGAATCTGCCATAAAATACTCAAAAATATATTAAGAATAATCACTACCTAACTACTAGCCTTGGATTATGATATGCATCTGTGTCGGCACAAAAATTAGACGTACGATGATCTAGAATTAGTTAAAAAGGTGTTATTTTATTTTACATATTTATATAAATGTTTTTAAAAAGTACAGTTTTTTTAAACAATTAAAAGTTTAATATACATTATAGATAAATAGATATGTGGCAACTTGCCTACTACAACTCAATTCTGCCAGTCTGGTAAACCCATAGCAACCAAAAACAAAATAATATTTATTCTATTCAATTGTTATAATTATTTAACGATCTGTCTCAAAAATTGTACTACCATAATTGGTGACACGTATTTATTACGAATAGCAACCTTCAATGTTGCACGAATATGGAGTTTATATGTCAAAATTCTGAGCAGCAGTAAGTTATCCAGTGTGATGAGATGCAAGTAAGACATTTCACCTGTCATTTCAAGCCTTGTGCCGCCATTCCGGCGAGTCAACATATTTCTGTCTGTCATAATTTCAGCAGCGGATATATGTATCTTCTACTGTAGTTGAGCCGCCAATTTCTCTGATTTCAAGTACCAAGAAACTGTGTCACTATATACATAGTGATTAATTTTTCTATACATATTATTATTGTGCATATTTGATTGATCTAAAGTGGATGACAACGATGCTGCTTACAATTTTCGCGAGTCGCAAGCCACCGCCTTTTTGTCGCCGAGACCCATCGTTATGGTTCATTCATTTAATTGGATGCGCAGTTGAGTCACATTACTGCCGACGAAACTCAATTTTATACAGCGATCGCCACGTTAGAATCAGAGGAATTGCAATCAGCTCATGAAATAAGTTCTGAATTCTACCAGTGACAGACAAATACAAATCTTTAAAAAAAAAAAAAATTAATTTCTGTTTATGAAGAATCCGAGACAGTTAAAATCAAGCAGCTGTTGCACGATTTACGGTTGGGTGATATGAGGCCTTCTCATTTCGCTGTCTAAAATGTAAAATGACTTAGCCGCCGGTAACCTAACAGATAACATTCTTAAAACATTATGGTATGAATAGACTCCCATCTAACATGCAAACCATTTTAGTGTCCAGTAGCGAGCCACTTAAAACTTCTTCCCGAAACCGCTGATAAAATTCACATGAGCTGGCCATTCCAGCGCAAATAACACGCAGTGCAGGCCTCCTGGTCCAGGTATTGTGGCATTACAGGCTCAAATTGATGATTCTGTCCAAACAGGTTGCTCAGTTAGTAGCCATCCAAGCTGAACCTTTTCAGCGCAACCGCTCCACATCACGTGGTCGAAATACACGTCGTAGCCCACTGAGGAAACGTTATGAAAGCCGGGTATTCCATACCCGGGTATTTGTTTTTACCACCAACAAATTTGGAAACAAGGCAAACAAATGCCCTCACCGTGTCGTTATATAACGACCAGGGAAACGAGAAGGGCCGTTGCTCGAAGTTGTGAACGACAGCGGCCGGAATTTTGCAACGCCTTTTCGTCATCGAAAAGAATTCGGGCTTAAGGTTTCTTGTAGACACCGGGGCTGATGTTTCTGTCATTCCAACCACATTTTTCACGAACAAAAGCGCCTTACCAAGTTACAACTTTATGTAGCAAATGGAACTCCTATTCAAACTTTTGATGAACGCCTGATATCTGTTGATTTAGAATTGCGCCGCAACATCCAATGGCCATTCATTATTGCTACTGTTTCAAGTCCTATTAGTTGGAGCTGACATTTTTCAAAAATTTTCTGCTTGTCGATCTTAAGAATCACCGTTTGATATATTCCGAGAGTAATTCGCATTAGTCAAGATTTAAGAAGCATTAAACTGATTTCGGGTAACTCCCCATGGCATCAACTCCTCAGAGAATTCCCTACAAAACACGCGCCCCAGTTATAGGTATTTCGAACCCAAGCACGACATTATATTGAAACTACCGAACTTCCAATTGCAGCTAAACCAAGACGCTTACCTCCGGACAAGCTTAAAGCTGCCAAAGAGGAATTTCAATACATGATGGAACAGGGAATTTGACGTCCTTCAAAAAGTTCATGGGCTCTATCTAATTCGGAAACGAAATGGTAACTGACGCCCGTGTGGCCATTATCGTCGGTTAAATGCAGCTACAATTCCTGATCGTTACCCAGTCCCTCACATTCAAGACTGTATGCAAGTTTCAGAGGGAAGAGCTATTTTTACCACCCTTGATCTTGAGCGGGCGTATCACCAATTGCCCGTTAACCCATCTGATATTCCAAAAACTGCGGTTATTACGACTTTTGGACCATTTGAGTTTCGGGTCATGATTTTCGGCTTATGCAATGCTGCTCAGACGTTCCAACGCTTCATGAATCAGATGTTAATCGGCCTCAACTTTTGTGTACCTTATTTTGATGACGTCTTAATCGCCTCCTCTTCAGAGCAAGAACACCTACCACATTTGAGAACAGTTTTTGAACGTTTTCAAAGGTACGGTGTCGGTCTTAATCCTTCTAAATGCGTTTTTGGCCAACCGAAAGTATCCTTTCTTGGTCATGAAACTTCCGCTGATGGTGTTCGACCGCTTCCAGACAGAGTCACCGCATATACCCGTACCATCTTCAGTGAAGGACTTAAGAATCTTGCTATGCTCAATTTTTATCAACGTTTCTTACCTTATGCAGTGACCATACAAGCTCCTCTAAATTCTTTTTTGGTTTGAAGCAAGAAAAACGATAAACGTGTTACATAACCTGGACCGCAGAATCCCGCGAAGTGTTCCAAAAATGCAAAAATGTTTTAATTTCGGCAACAAATTTTGCACTATCCTTCCGCATCTAAACTATTATCACTCTACGTTTATAAGGTATTTTTTCTCCTCTTTCCTAGCCTGCCTTCGTGGCGTAGTGGTTTTGGTTCTGCACGCTGGGCCGGTACTCCACAGGTCCGCGGTTCGATTCCCGGCGAAGGCGTTGCATATTTTTCATATCCTCTGCTTCCCAAAAAAATAACCTAATGTCTCTCCACATTGACAACAGCTATAGCAGCAGTTTTACAACAGAAAGATCAAGAATTATGGAGACTACTTTCACATTTTTCTAAAAAAAACTCTCACCAGCACAAACCAGATACAGCACTCACCACGATCGCGAATTGTTAGGAGTTTATGAAACTGTCAAATATTTTTCGACATATACTAGAGGAACGCGTTTTCATGATCGTAACAGATCACAACAAACCCTTAACCTATGCTTTTCAACAGCGTTAGGATAAAGCTTCTCCTCGTCAAATGAGACACCTAGACTTCATAGGGCAATTTTCAAAAGATATCCGTTATATTGAGGGTTCGCAGAATATTTGTTGCAGACACCTTGTCTCGTATTGAACAACTAGCCGTTCCTTCGCGAATAAACTTTGCTGCCCTTGCGGATGAACAACACCTGGATTCAGAACTACAAACCCTCTTGAAAAGCATATCTTCCACCAATTTGTCATTTACTTCATCAAAGTCTTGAAAAGCAAATTATCATTACTTCATCAAAGTCGATCCTTTCAAATTTTTTTCCTTCCACACTTAAAAAATGCTAGATGGCTTAGGGGATCACAACATTGTTGATTATAAATATGTGAAAATGTATTTTAATTAGCTGAACGAACGTTCGTAGCTAGCATTTGATAATGAAATAGTAAGTAGTATTTGAAGTGCGACTGTTAGGTTTGGAAAAACATTTTCTCTATAGATCTGTAGTGGAGTTTTAGGTTCCGTTTCTTTTCTACTGCGGAGTAACGTCATGCAGTCACATTCACTGCTCAAAACAATTAAGGGATGTTGTGGGTTCGGTATGAAATAACCATATAATCGACAATCTTTTTGAACAAAAGGAAATAGAATAGATTATAAAGGAAAATTATAATGTTTACAAAGTTGGGAATAGACAAATTTAGTCTGTGACGTCAACAACTGTGTGTTTAAGATAAGGAGTGACAAGCGACCTGCAGCATTCCTTTTGTAGTAGGAGATTAAAAACAATTGAAAAGTTGTGTGGTGGTGTATTTAATTATGGCAAAGCACACTAGGGCTATCTGCCTAAGAGGAGGGATGCCTTCGTGGAGGACTTTCTAAGGGAAACTGGTTCGTATACACGTTACGCATGGGGAAAACCACGAAAACACCCATCCAGCCAGCCCGTTCGCGGGATTCGAACCTCGGACCGAATTACCAGTGTTCAGCGACTTTACCGCTCGGCCGCTGGTGGGCAACAATTGAAAAAGAGTTGACTGTTTGTAGCAGTCAGTCCGATGTTTTAGCAAGATGACTTAGTTGAATCGGTAGACTGGAAGGCCATCAGTCGTTTACAGGAGAGTCAAAAGCAATCCATTGTAGCGGAAGCGTTAGGATTTTCACAAAATGTCATTTCCAGATTATGGAATCGGATTTTGGAAACTGGATATGTTTGAGAAATTCGGGACAAGGTCGTGTTATCGTTTTAAAATAAAAAGCGGGAGATATACGTGCATTTCGTTAAAAAAAAAATATATCTCTACTTTGGAGAAATAAAATGGTCAGAAAGAACGTTTTGGTTGATGTACTGCAAACATTTTATTACACATCTTATCAGACAAATCAAGAAAATAAATAATTAATTATATTACAATAGTTATTAATTTTAAATATATTTTCCAGAAATCGATCAAAATAAAAACTGAAATTTTCCGGAAAGTATTGCTTAAAAACCATTTGGCGCCCCTCTAGGAGCAGCGCCCGGGGCATCATGCACCCCCTTGCCCCCCCGTCGCTACGCCACTGTTTATTCCTACAGAAATTTCACTGCAGTTTCTGCCATTTTTGGCAAATTCCACAAGCTAATATTTTAACACTAAATTTAAGACAAAAAATATAACGATTTGTTTATAAAAACCGTTGGAACTTGAAATACAACAAAAAGAACACGTACGAAAATGGCGGCCTTTTTTGACTGAAGGGTTGATATGAGCATGGTTAACGGAAGAATGGCTACGTGCACGTTTGCCAGATTTTTGGTATATTCTAAAAATTTGGCGGCTTCTACAAGGTGGTTGCGTTAATACGTAAGTACCCTTATTCGTTTACCGAAAATATTATCACCTCTTGTAAATATTGAATGTACTACCTCGCGCCAAAATTTATCTAAAAAATTACTTACATTTATTAACTCATAGATGTAACAAAAACGCGTCATTGAGTAAAAGGGAATAAAGAAAAGAAATTAGAAAGTATAATGCCTTAAATTTGATTTTTAATTTTTTTTTTTTTTTTGACTTCTTAAAATTTCTTAAAAATTCTTTATTGATTTGAATTATCGAAGTGGAATAATATTTTATTTCGAAATTCTAATTTAATTTTTGTTCCCCCGTCTTCTCGTTGGTGCAATATAGATCCACCTCCGTAGAGCGCCATAGGCAACATTACATTTATTAAAAATTAAAACCAGATTTATTTTTTTACTAATTCAATTTAGTTTTCACGTTTCTTGCAGCTGTAGCATGTAGCCGCGCGAGAAATTTTAATACGTATGAAAAATTGGCTAAGCGAAAGCCAGAATATACATTTTCGCTGCATTTCTTAGCTGCCTTTTTATATAATTGTAATTTTTGTTTGATTTATCACAAGTAAAGTTTATTTTTTTTTTCCTTTTCGTGTCCTTCCTTTCGTGTTTATAAGAATTTGTTTGTTTCAGGCGAAAGCTTCGTTTGTCCGAAAATATTCATCGATACGTCATTATAGCGGTCTTCAAACATCCCAGGTTGGCTTAGAATTTATTGTTGGCGATAAAGATTTTGAACAAGGAAAATTGAAGCTGCGCTGCGTGGCAACTATATCACAAGTCTATTCCAGTGGAAGCGAAGAGCTGATCATTGGGGACAGAGGTCAAGCCTCAGGTTCTCATCATGGTAACATCTTCACCTTCAGACAAACATATTTTCTTTCTTATTCTGAATTATAGTGGCAGGAATAAATCATAAATGTAGTGCTTTTCTTATTTAGGACCTGTATAGTATTAGGTGTTTTTACTGAATTCCATTCACTATGTTACCAAACAAAGCGAAAGTAGGAGCATTGCGCTGTACCATTTCTGTAGCGCGAAACTGATTTTCTATTTGTTCAATATCACAGAAGGTTCTTTTGAAAAATAGTAAGAACATCAATAATCATATTACCAGGATAAAATGTTTCAGATGTAAATTGTCACTGAAATTAAAATTGTACGATCTTGATATATAGATAGATATCTGTTTTGCCGAAAACAATCCGCGCAACTCGAAAATTGCCCAACAATTTCAAACCTTAACGCGCAAATGTATTTTAATGTAACACAAAGATAGAAAATGTGCAGCCATTTTAACGCATAGAAAGAGTTAAAAGGTCAAGGCGGGTCACTACCATTACAAATTTAATATATAATGCTTGCCAACTGCATCAGTTCGGACTGCTTATATGGTACAGTTTTTTGCATTAGCAGATGGCACTGTCTTCAAGATCCAACTGAGACCATTTAAGAGAATTCGTCAGTGATCCCAGTTCTTTAAATAAGCGAGCTCGCCGAATCTATGAAACGCTAGCATGAGTAGCGGTTAAATTACTCAGCTAAGTAATGTTGTTACCAGTGGTCCGCACCCACAACAGTCATAAAAGCAGCTACCTACGACGACAACTTCTGGAGATGATGATAGTGGAATAGTAACAGAAGCCATAGGTTTCAAAGGCACGTTTCTGATTGCAATTCAGAACTATTTCCCCTTATTTCTCGATATCATTAAATATCATTTCGAGTAGACTGGCAGAGTTTGCATTTCATCATGCAAGAATTCCGAAGACCAGTAATAATTTGCGCTAAGCTGAGCTCCTTCAAGTTTCTGCAGATTTGTGTCAGAAGCACAAAAATAAATCAGGTATCAAACTCCAAAACAGACGGAATGATAGAAATATAGGTGTAATATATAGGTGTAAATATAGGTGAAATAAGATTACTAGCGTCAGCTCCCCAGTTTCGTCGCGAGGTATACTTTAGCATGTTAAGGCGTCTCCTAGCCCTCAACAGAAGGTGATCTCAATGTTTATTGCTCACTATTCTCAGGATCCAAAACAAAACACAGATATTTTGGGTATTTATCTACGGTAAGAGGCTGATGGTTCAGTAGAATGTTAGGTTGAAATCCATATCATTTTCTAAGCAAGCCGTACCTCGGCCGTCTTGTGTTTTCCATGATCAAATAAACCGAAACAAATTACCCAGTTATAGCGTGAATAAAGGTTATTTCCCTTAAACGCTTTCCTTTTCTCTAAAAATAAAAAATGCTGTAAAATTTTCACCTGCTGAGCTTGAATTAGCCATAATGAATTTCATTTCTCTGAGTTTCAATTCGGCCACATTTCGACTTTTTAATCGTTTCTTATGTTAGGCAAGTATTTCATTTCTTATTTTCTTTTAATCCCTGATACATGATTGATGCTACGAGTACTTTTCCCCAAAACATTCTTTATTTGATGAAATGATTATTATTCACTTTCAAATGTATCATTTAACTCATTTTCAAAGCCAGTCTCTTCAGTTTATAGGAAGAAAATTATTAAATTGTTAAAATATACTCCTCAAAAATACGAGTAATTCACGCCTACAATAATGGTGCTATTTACTGTTAATTTTTTAAGTAGTTTTGTTTTTGAAACTATGCATTTTGAGAAAGGAAAGTCATGAAATAAAAATACCATTAGTATACTGTACATACCAAGATTTCACTATGTTCCAAAATCAAAATATTCATTAAAAAAGTTTCAGTGTGCAAACTTTTGTGGTATATATGGCACTTATATAAAACGAAATTCAGATGATGAATGGGAAAATGTTTTAAAAATAATTGTCAGTACAAAAAATTTATCGGTGAAAAATTTATAAAAAAGAAACTGTTTCATTAGGAATGAAATGTCAAAAAACTGTATGAAAGTTTACCAGAATAAAATATATGGATAAATAAGATATGTAAGATATATTTTTAGTTTTTGTACAACATTTTAAAATTAGTGACATACGGATATTTTGTGTGACTAATTACACAAAACATATTTATCTGTATATGTTTTGTGTGTTTGCCTCTTTATATGTTTTTAATTATCTTTTTAAAGTAAAAAATGCATTCAAATAATTAAAATCCAATTAATTCACTAAAATTTAATCTAGAAGATTTTTATTTTATTTGTTTGAAAATGTTTATACTTATTTTTCCTAGATTTTTTTTAATGCATGGAACTAACTTCCTATTTTCTTACGTTGATATTTTTCCACCTGCTTTTAACCGATGTTTCCTATAATCTATATACCACCTGTAGACTTACTTAGGTCTATTCTATTAAAATGATGAAATTCAGAGCAAGTTCAATTTAATCAGATTAATTTGAATTAACTATAATTAATAATCGTAAGTGTAAAACGGCCCACCATCGGTCGAGCGGTAAGGTCGCTAAACTGTAAAAGTTCGGAAAGGGGTTCGAATCCCGACGAGAAAGAGCTGGCTGCATGGGCGTTTTCGCGGTCTCCCCATGTGTAACGTATATACGAGACAGTTTCCCCTAGAAAGTCCTCCACGGAGACATTCCTCCTTTTAGGCAGACAGCCCTCCTCTGCTTTGCCATAGTTTAATAAACTAAATCGTAAGTGTAAAAAGTGCATTTTTAAAACGATTTTCCTACTTCGTGTAAATATACCTGTAACTTTCGCTTCGTCAGCAGTTAAACAACCATGTAATAAACAGGTTACAAACAAAAATTCATACTACGTTGCCTCAGATATCCTAAGGCATATTGCTTTAAAAATCGCAAACAGAAAATGTAAGTTCTTGATTTTAATTTTAGTTCTTACTAAATACATTACCAAAAGATTCTCTTATTTTCGTGGTCTTCAAAAATTTCACTACATAAAGATATGTTTTAAGTCATTTCTTATTTATATATTTATATGACTCGTACAGGATAATTTGAAGAAATAGAACGGAATGTGTATGAAGTTTTTACTCTTTGCGGAATAAATTCTAAATTGTACGAGTACGTCTGATTTATACTAAACTAGAAAAACGACTGACATTTCACTCGATAAAATGATAGTAACAGATAATTCCAAATGACCTACATTCTTATGATTCGCGTGACTAAATGCGTTGACCGCAAGCCTTCAGATCACGCAATTGCTAGAGTATCCTCCGAAAAAGAGTCCACATATGCCTATTTGTTTAATGATATGTTACTGAAGAATTAGTCTATCTTCGTCAATTTAAGATTGTGGAATATGTTATTCTAGAAGTTAGTCGAAATAAAAATTATTGAAAATCAATTTTTTTCTTACTCTAGGATGTTTTCGTAAGTCCGGAAATTGAAAAATTTTAGAGGGGCAATTTTACATATTAGATTTAAGTATTAATTTTTTTTATTGTTAAAGACTGATTAAAGACTGAAACTTAGACTGCCTTCTTACAAAATTGTTCTTTACATTATGTTCACAATGGTTAGAATGTCCAGTTGAGTAATTACAGATTGGAGTATACTGAGTATACTGAATAAAGTACTGAAAATGAACATATGTCCGTGTCTCAGTGGACTACGCCAGATTTTTGGAGACTTCTCAGATGAATTTATTACCAAAAAAAGGACGAGTAATGGTAAGTTATATATATTTACTAATCTTCCTCTCCTAAGGACACGTACAAGGATTAATGGGACAATGTGATACTAATAAGCAACAGCCTATAACCGCAACCCTAGCAGAGATCATTAGTTATTGGCTGGGAAATCCATTTAGCACCTCCAACAAATATCTGTACTCTAAATTAAAATACTTGATACACGTTCAACTTGGCATGAAAAACATAAGATAAAGTAACTGTAATTCCTTATAGAGCATTACAATGAAATTAAATTAAGGGAACTACTCGTACAGCATTCAGATAACTTGTTAGCAAAAATAATATTAAATAAAGAAATGATAAACTTTACAGAAATCAACTTAAAATAGTGAAGGCGATTACAAATGTATGCAAAATAAATTAAACATAATTTGCATTTCATAATATTAGACAATTTAAATAATTTTGTTACTTAAAGTCCGCATACAGGATAACAATATCATGATACATTATTTATTTTCATTTCCTGATGTACTTTTTATAATTGTAATAAGTCCTTTCCTGGTCTGGTAGTTGTAAATTAATCTCTTAAGATCCTTTGTTCTTCTCAAAGAAGATAAATTAACCAGCTATTTTGCAGACTAGAACAAGTGAGAATGTGCTATGAATCAGCTTTTGTCGTTTCACAGTGGCATGCACTATTTTAAATCCGAAAGCAAATGTAATAACTAGGAAGTGAAGGAAAGTGACCCTGATTTGTGTAGACTTACTTTATATGTAACATGTAATGATATGAAAAGTAAAAATAAATACAGATAATCTTTACTAGCGCATTGCGTTTAATAATCGATTACAGTATAGATTCAGATATACCATTTTTAACCTCGGCATTCTCAATACTTCGCTGTCCGAAAACTTTCTGCTCTTAAGCTTAGCAAGCTGCTACTCTCATTAATGTCAGAGGATGCATTTAATAATCCTCGCTATCAGAAAATGTCAACAGCTTAAATTTGGATTACCGCAAGGAAATTAGACCACGGAACCTATATAATGTTAAAGATACTGTGGATTGAGGTAATTAATCACTGACCGGTTGCAATACCGAGAAACTAAATCACATTGAGATGCCCAAGACATGTCAATTCTTTCTGCCAAAAAAAGAAAACAAATATATTCACTAAGGCAATGCATTTCGCCAGAAGTTAGGTTACCGCGCCTCACTGGATTACGGAACATAACCGGACCATGTAGTTTGTTATCTGCATTAAGCTGTGGTATAA